GACACCACTATGCTATGATGTGCTTACAGACAGGTGACCAAGCCACCTTGGTTAGTCAACAGAGTCTCAAGAAAGAGAGTAAGGATTAAGAAAGAAAAGAAAATTAGACAACATTATAACATGACTAGAGCCAGTGTTGAAGTGACTATTTCTTTCCAGTCTGCTTTTATACCATTTATACCATTCTAAGTATATGACAAGAAAAGGGTCAGTTATAGATCAAAGACAAAGTACTCAAGGAACAAACACGGCAAAGACAAAGCAGTCAAGGAACAACCAAGGTATAATCAAAGGTCCCATGATTAATGTTAATGTATTCAGGGACTTATTGGAATAATCAAGACACAAAGAATACATTTCTTAGCTGTATTCATCTGGAGCCTTGTCCTAGCCTGATGTCAAATTCTTGTCCTAACTTAATGTACATATTTTTTGCCAAATTCTTGGAAATGTCCCCAAAAGTTCTCCAGAGACAGGAGCCTGGCAAAGCTGTCCTCAAAGAGGCCCGACCAGCAACTGATTGACACTGAAGCAGATACTTACACCCAACCACAGGATTGAAGTTGGGGACCTCGATGTTTGAATTAGGGGAAGGATTGAAGAAGCTGAAAGAGAGAGCAACCCTATAAGAAGACTGGAAGTCTCAATTAACCGAGACCCCAGGGAGCTCCTGGAGGCTGAGCCCAGCCAGGAGCATACATGGGCTGCTCTGATACACCTGGCACAGAAGTTGCACAGGTATACCTGATCTGGCCTCAATGGGAGATGGTGTGCTTAATCCTGGGGATCCTTATGGCCCCAGGGAAGTGGGAGGCCTGGAGAGGGCAGAGCATTCTCTGAAGGACAAGGGGGAGGAGTAATGGAATGAGGAACTGTGGGATGAGGGACTGTAAGAGTCAAAAGCTGGAATGTAAATAAATAAAATAAGTAAAAATAAAAGTAAACAGAAAGAAGGAGGAAAGAGCTAATGAAGCATGGGAGATCCTAAGTGTAAGTACTATAGGGATTTTGGCTAATAGGTGGCCAGGTTAGTTTAGGGAATTAAGGAGGATCAATTGATGGCTCAAGTATTGAGACTTAAAAATAAATATTGGTCTCTCTATGTCATTATTGGGTGAAAAAATACAGCCACTGTATTAATTTACAGCTTACATTTCTGTTAAAAATAACATTAACTGAGGATTAACCAATCTAAACATGTATGAAAAGCCATGTGAAAATCCACTATTTGTTAGCTACTCAATTTTAAAGAATACAATACAATGAATAAACAGAGTTTGAAGGAACTACATAGCTTAATTGGATAATACAGCCACAAAAAGCATCATAATATTAAACAAAGCTGAGTTCCAGGTATAACATAATCCAATTATTCCTTGGCTATCAGATCCCAAAGAATCCCTAAAACTACAGGCTAGTTCAATTTGCCTTGTTTATTGATTAGAGTTAGCTATCAAGAAGTTGTTGAAGATATCATTTAGATGCACTACAGAAAACAATAAAACCAGAACTGAGCTGGAAACAGGTTGGTTGCTTACTAGCATTCATATAGCTGGGCTGTGCTTTGTGCACTGAGGGTGGCAGAGATCAAAATCACCAAGCGTCTTAACATGCTTTGCATACTGTGAGCTGTAGTACTACAATATAAGGCAAGATGTGCCTGGTACAAAACAGCTCTCTAATTGGATTTAACCACTGTTCAAAGGATGGAAACCATGTCTGGTATAGGTATCCAATCTAACTACATGTCACGGGGGTCACATTTCTTAGAGAAGAATATACTACCATCAGTTTATTGAACTAACAAAATTTCTGACTGCATTCTAAATATTTATACTTACTCCCTATAGATAAATTAAACTTTTTCCTTTCATCAAATAAATGCCCCCTTTTGACAAAGAGGAAATTCCTGAAAACTGTACTTGTCAAAAAATGTAGCATTTGTGATTCTGTGGTACCCAGTCGCAACTGATAGATCCACAACACAATGCCATCATTTGCTACATACAACATTACTGAAGAGGGAGAAGAAAGGATGTTAGACAGAGACTTAGAAGTCTGCTGTGAAGTTGTTTCCTAGAAAGGAGAGGAAAGCTGCAACTATGATAGATCAACAAAATAGCTGCCTAAACAAGACACGAACATGTACAATCAACATGGATAGGAAGGGAAACCCGCCGGGCGTTGGTGGTGCACGCCTTTAATCCCAGAACTTGGGAGGCAGAGACAGGCAGATTTCTGAGTTCGAGGCCAGGCTGGTCTACAGAGTCAGCTCCAGGACAGCCAGAACGACACAGAGAAACCCTGTCTCGAAAAACCAAAAAAAAAAAAAAAAAAAAAAAAAAAAAAGGAAGGGAGACCCATCCTTAAAAAAATAACCATGAGAAACTGAAATTTTTTGAGAGCCTGAGAAATAACTTTGCCCACAGGTCAGCACTCCATTTGGTGATTTAAAAACAAAAACAAATAGTTATCCATGAAGTCATAAATGTACTAGTAGCCTTATATAAATAGCTGTTTTACTTATGAATTCATAGATATGTAATTATATGAGGTGGGTATGGGAGTAGGGTGTTTTTAATCATATGAATATATTTGTGTTTATGTCATTGATGTTGTTTAATCATATATCGATTAAAGAAAATAGCTAAGAAAATTATTACCATCTGGTAAAGTCACTGTGGGAACAAGCGGGGCAAATGCTCAAAAGCTAAAAGTATGTCCACAATATGCTACTATATATTCATATGTAGACGTTATATGTCTTATTTCTATTGAACTGTAATAAGATTAGCCATGACTTCATTATACTACAAAGGATTCAGTAAATCAAAGAGTACTCAAGTGAGTGAAGAGGTAATAGGAAAAATGTGAGAAATCTTCACTTATATCTGACAGGAGATTGAAATCCAAAGTATTCATGATATATATATATCAACATACCCTACTTACTTATTTTATTGAGTTCTTGAGGCAAGGTCTTACTGCGTATCCATGGATGGCCTGGAACTTTGAATGTATAATAGGCTGTACACGCTCACAGATATATCTGCCTCCCTAATGATGGAAATTTGGCTTGTATGTAATGATATCTGGTCTAACCACTTGGTATTAGATGAGCAAAAAGGGATCAATCCAGAGAAAAGTTAATTTTCTCTATCTCTCAGCAGTTATTAGTTTCCTCTACTGCTTAGCATAAGGGTAGGATCCTGTGATATTAGCTCCTCTCACCTTACCATTTCTATTCCTGGTATACCTGTTTATGCCTTAATTATCCAGTGATAATTTTGAGGTATGACAGTTGAACTTTCATGTCATTTTAAAGGTCACAATTTCACACCAGACATTCTGGGACTCTGCCTCCTAAAAATCTGTCTGCTTCCTATTGTGTGATCTTCCTTGAGCCTGAGATGCAGGCTCAGTGTGGTAGAGGTATCAATTGGAGTTGGACACAGCACAGTTAGTTGATCTCTGTTCTTTAACCTGTTGAGATTCTCTCCATATATTTTTTCTATATAACAGCATCTTTTAAAAAAAGAAATCTGCTTTGAAAAAAAATAGAAGATATTCTTTAATAGGATGTGAGATTTAGACATTTGTGTACAAGGATAATTAGTGATAAACATTTTTGAATTATGTTGGTTTAGTAAGATGGCAGTGAATCTTCTAAGATTCATAGCCTCAGTTTTTCTGGGTGTTTTACTAATATTCCAGAACTAGATATGTTTTCCCTCTTGAGGAGAAAGCCTTCATATATATATATATATATATATATATATATATATATATATATATATATATATATGTACTTATGTATTTAGAAATATATTGTGTATATACATATATTGGTTAATCATATATATATATATATAAACATATATATGCTTAATCATATATGTGAAACATGTATATATTTTGTTTAATCATATGTGTGTGTGGTGTATATGTGTGTGTTTGTGTGTGTAAGAAAAGACTTAAGAAAAGTACTTGTATATGGGCACATATTTGTGGAAATAGATAGATATCAACATTTAAGAAAAAGAAACTGTGAATTCGAGAGGAATCAAGGGGAGAAAAGTGGAAGGAGAAAAGAGAGTGAGGAAAATTCTATGTTTATGATTTAATTACAAAAGCATTTATTTGCCTGATCAAATAATGGTTTAATGGTTACAGAGGTAGCTAATATGTTTGTGATTTGAATTTTGACACAATTCATAAAAGACTTTTAGTTGTGCCCATAAACCCATGATATTTAAAATTATAATAACAGGGAGACAATGTACCGTTGTTATATCTAGTGGGCATAGTGCCTGCTGAATGTGTCTAGATATACTACTGAAGAAGGATTGAGAAACGGGATGTTAGGAGGAGAGCCACTTTTCTTCACCAGTGTTGCCTCAGATGAGTCTTTGACAGTCCAATAGAACACCACCCCTCCAAAGATATGTGAGAAGCATAAAAAGGAAAGGATACATGGGAAATAAAAAGTCTAATTGATACGTTTCTCTAAGCTTTGGTCAGTGAAGATTGTGATTGCAGTTGGAGACAGTTAATGTAAAAGTAAAATAGCATATTTTGCTTTGTACACCATTCAGATATCTGAGAATATTCTTCAAAAAGCATGTAGACTTTTTGCTAATGGTTAGCAGATCTTGCATGTAGTTATATGATGATTCTATGTGAGTATTGTGAGTTCTGCCTATTCGTTTATTGTTTATGGTTTTTACTACAAGGAAATGAAATCTAAGAAGTAAGGGACATATGAGCTGGCAACATACAACAGCAGATAAAGTACTTTTCAAGGAAGCCTGATGATTCAGTTTGAGCCCCACAGCTCGTGGGAAAAGGCAGAGAGGTCACACCATGGCACAGGATTGTTTACACATCCTATATACATTCCAGTGCTCAGACAGACACAGCAACATGCACGCATTATAATAAATAAAAAAATAGAAATTTAAGCTACAATGCAGAGCACATAAAAAAAGAAGCAGACTCAATTGATGTGCTCTCTACATGTCTTTAATTTGACTCTTACAATTTTGAGTCAGCATGGATTGCAATAAATGGGTCTTCAGCAGAGTTACTAATGGAAAAGTGAGCTTTGCCATCACTGCCAACGTTTACTCTAAGTCCAGTGCAACCGCCATCGACTTTATCTCCAGAAATGACATCACAGTATGTGCCAGCAGGAAGACCAGTCTGTAAAGTTGTTGACAGAGCCCTGGAAAAAAAAAAGTTAATTAAATATTAACTTGGAATTCAACCCAGTCAAATATAGGAAAATCTGTTACGTGTTCTTCACAGAACCATAAGTGCCCTACCCCAACCTTGTGCTATAGAACAGTATGAACTCAGAGTTCAGTAAGAGAATACAAACACCAAGACTGTGTCAGCTGGAGCAAACAAATTCTCTATCCCAAAGTCATTATTTTAAATGGCTATTTGCTTCATTGCTTGTAGTGACCAGACAGAAAAACTGAGACTGCAGAGAAACTCAGCACTAAAGTTCTTCTGTGATTGTCTTTGTTTCCAGTCTATCTTCTGCTGGATTAAACTGATTAATTTTTTTATTTGCATTCATTCTTCAAAAGTTCTTAGATTACATAATGCCACATGAAATTTTTTTCAAATTAAACATAATCTAGCACATGTATGGATACATAAATGTTTGTGGTAGAAAACGGATTGTATAAAGAAATTTTAGTAATTCTCCAAAAATTAAAACCAAGTGCTCATTCAGAAAACAAATATTATGTACTTCATTTTTTGTAGTTGCCAATAAAGCGTGCTTTAAAGAAAAATTTCTTTCTTTGTTTTTTTTTTGTTTGTTTGTTTTTGGAGACAGGTTTTCTCTGTATAGCCCTGGCTGTCCTGGAACTCACTCTGTAGACCAAGCTGGCCTCCAACTCAGATATCCGTCTGCCTCTGCCTCCCAAGTGCGGGATTAGAGGCATGCACAACCACCGCCAGGCTGAGAAAAATATTTTCAACCAGATAGAAAGCTGAGTTGAATCAGTTCACTGTCTCCTAAAGAGATTCTCTGCAATAGAATGTTTTCTGATTTGTTTACTTTGTGAGACACAGAATTCATTTTCTTTGTTTTTTTTTAAAGACATTTACAGAGTGCATCAATTGAGTCTGCTTCTTTTTTATGTGCTCTGCACTGTAGTTTAAATTTCTATTTTTTGTTTTGTACATTTTCTTTGTTCTCTCTGCCTAGCCAGCCATGGCTGTACTGAAATTACTATGCAGATCAAGATGGCTTCAAACTCAAAACAATAAGGCTGCTTCTTCCCTCACAGTAACAAGCACCACTACTAGTATCTGATCTTGAGTACTACAGGTGAGGGAGTCATAAAAGAAGACTCAGATAAAAGGACTACAGGTAAAATAACAAGATTGAAGGTTTTAAACCCAGAGTAAGTGACCACTTGAAGGCACTCATAACAACAAATGCAAGTACACATATGCTTTTAAAATATGTAAAACATGCAGGCAGATAATTGAAGACCCTGTATAAGTATAATGGACTAACGTATAAATTACAATCAAAGGCAATGGGAAAAGCACTCCAGTACTAGTATGGCATATTTTTAATGATGTTAAGATATATATTAACTATTTATATACTTTGTAAAATGTGTCAAATCAGCCTTAAGTGTGAATATTTGCAACTATCATTGTACACTGTGATTAAAGTTCAGAAAAATCAAAATTGTATCAACATAAAAAAATAGGAAACTAAACAGCATTGTTCTTATGAATACTGAATATTTGCTTGCAGCTTAAATTAATTGTAAAAAAGATTTATTACATATGAAAAATATAAATGAACCGAAAAAGAAAAGAAGCATCTTGGAGTGTAATATTATACAACCATTCCCTAATCAATATCTACTTACCAGTCATCATTGTTAAAGACAATGAATCCTCTGTTTCCTCTGCCAAAAGCTACTTGGTTGCTGCCATTATCCCACCAGTTTGCAAAAGGCTGACCGTTGACTACATTCCTGAAGGCAACCATGTTCCTAAAAACACAACATCAAGTAAAATGCTCATTTCAACATTTTAAAAGTTTAAAATAAAAGGTTAAACAACTTCCTTGTTAAACAAGACCTGAAGGGGACATCCCACCTGATTTGACGCCATCTATGTTCACAGACCCAGTCATTGCCACAAGTGGTGTCAGGATTAATGGTCACTTCTTTTGTTGCTCCATTGTTATTAGGTGGTCCAATCCAGTCATTCTGATCCTTAATTATTAAAAGAAACACATCATTTGAATGCCTGTAGCTCCCTGACTCTTGCCACTACAGAAAACCAAGTCCACTGGCTAATTCTGTCTCTGCAGTGGGTAATTGTTATCTAAGTCCTTAATTGTTTTCACTGACTTTGACTGTGTTTTTAGCTTCTGTACAAACTGAGGTTCTCTACAACCATATTGAAACAGACTCCAGTTACTCCCTGAAATATTTCCATCACTGTTCACTACATGAATGTGCCTCAGTATACACATAAAAGACAGATATAGTTATTGGCTACTATAAAAATTAAAATAGTCTATGAAAATTCTTTTAATATAATAATTTTAAAGTTAATGTTAGTTTATTTCTTACCAGTAGCTTATAAAATGTGCTAAAATGTTCTGACATTATTAAGTATATCAAAATATAAATGAGCATCTTATGATGGCAAAATACTTGAATATACCTCTAAAAAATTATTCTACTCATGAGAGTACTTCAAAAAGAGAATGAATTTCAATACACAACAAAGGGATTGTATTCAAAGAAACTAAAAAGTGTCTGGCAAATTTATAATATATATATTTAATATATATTAAATATATTAATAAATATATTAATATATATTTAATACATATTTAATTTAATTTATATTTATTATAATATATATTATAAGTTTAATATATATATATTCATTCTATGTGTCTCTATAAGGCTAGTATTTTCCACTGAGATATGATATTTCACATAGCTCTAAGATATCTTGTAGTCTCATTGGTTAGTTAAGTTTTGAAATTGTTTACACATATTCAACTAATAAACAAACATATATTGGATATGATTCAAGGCTCCCATGGATTGCTTCTTCAAATCACTGTTCTGTGATTCTCCTAAGCTCTTATCTACTATAGTTTCCTTAATCAACCTCAAACCAGATGCTCTCTAATTCCACAGGAAAAATACAAGTATTTTTACATGATGACATTTATGACATTTATTGTACCAAGAGCAGAAATAATTTAAAATTTCTTTTGGTGTTACCAGGCATAATTCAATGTTAAATCTATGAGTCAGGGCTTTACCAGGAGTAATTGTTTTCACTCTGCATTTTGTTAATATTTCAACTACTTCATTTTCACTATCAGGTACTTCTTCATTGCCCTCATTTTAAAAAACTGTAGTGAATGAACACTTAGTAATAATTCCATATGCTATAAATTTACATGAACTTAAACAGAACCACTTTCCTTTCTAGAAAAAAATATGCTTCAAACAACTCCAAGACTTACGTTTCCATTCTGGAAATTTCTTTGCCAGCGATAACTTGACATTACTCTTGTGAATCCATAAGGATGAGCCAACATAAATCCAACAGCCATTTTATACATTCTGAAAGTTTCAAAATAGTGTTAAAGAAGAAGTATATAATGCTTTACTGTCATTAAAAGCAGACTCCACAGTAGCAAAGAATGTTGTCTTACCTAGCATCCCAGAATGTCAGGATGGATTTTCCTCCAGCACCATGTCCTCGCTGATTGTCATGGTTGTCCACAAACACAAGGGCTCTGTCAGTAGGCACGAAACCCCAGCCTTCTCCCCAGTTCCTGCATTTTTAAAAGCACATTATTCTTTCACAATGCTTAGTGTAACATTACATATGACATTCTCAATTATCTAAATAAATGACAATTTCATGAGAAATCTTTCATATAGACATGCATATATATAAATATACATATATAATTTTCTATAGTAACATAAATAGGAATCTTATACACATTTAGGTCTTACTATGTAAACTGTTTTTCTGAGATTTTGCTCTTTAGATCTTTTTTATTGTATTATAATATTATGGACTTGAGAATAAAGATATCCATATTATATAGTATAGAATGAAAATGAATTTGTAACTGTGCCTTTAAATTACAAACTTTTGAAATTTTCAGTTACTTCTCTAACGTTGCACTAGGAAATTCCATACTGTGGCCACATTATAGGGATCACTTATGAGTACAACTATTTTTACTAACATACTTTTAGTAGACCATGAACAAACAATCTTAGAATCTAAGAGACTTATCAGAAACAGAAAAAAAAATCACTAAGTGATATTTTGGATTTCCACTGCTATGAGGTGATTAATATACCAAATGAAAATATGATTAATTAAGGGTTGTTGAACAATAAGCTTAACTAGTAATCAACAACGTCGTAGTTGTGTAAGTTAGAATATTTAAAGATACATCTTATTGATGCCAAATGACAACAAATGTATGATAGATCAAATGATGAAATGGTATATACTTACTTTAAATATGACATCTTCTCACCATCCCACTTGCGGATAACTGTGCCAAGTTTTGCACCATACTTAAATTCTGTCACACGACCATTTCCAAAGTACTCACTACTTTTAACTGCCTCACCACCCAGATCAATGACCTATGAGAGATATTGGGGCAAGTGTCAATTTATGTACATCTTTAAATCATATTATTGAAAGATGATATTATTTAGAATTTTAAAATAATTCTGTTATTTGAAATGTTACTAATGGTTTTCTATATACCTACATTCTGATTTCATTCATGAACCATATGTCACATTATTGAAGGAAAGCAAATTACAATCCAAATTACAAAAGAGTCATTTTTATCCTCCAGGATGACTGTCAGAAGGGACAGTTCACTAGTTCACAATAAGATAACACTTGTCAACAATAGAAGCACTTATAAACTCATGAACTTTTCTAAATAAATTAGAGGTATAATATTGTCATCCTCAGTACACTTCATGTAATATTATTGCTGAAGAAAAGGCTTCATCCATTTGCCTTAAATACCTCCAATGCTAATAACATGAGACAAAACACAAAATCGGAAAGATTGTCTTGAGACTATAAGCATTATGATTTTTCTGTCTTGTAAAATGAATTTAGCACTGCCTTGAAACAAGATTGCTGATGCCAAGAAGTGCTTGCTGACAGGAGCTTAGCATAGCTATCCTCTGAGAGGCTCTTCCTGCACCTAATATAGATTCAAATACCCACAGCCAACCATTAGACTGAGCCTGGGGACCACAAAAGAATAGTTAAGGGAAGGACTGAAGGAGATGAAGTGGAATTTGCAACCCCATAGGAAGACTAACAATATCAACTAACCAGACCCCCCAGAGCTCTCAGGGACTAAACCATCAAAGAAAGAGTATACATGAATGGTTCCATGGCTCCAGCTACATATGCAGCAGAGGACAGCCTTATCTGGCATCAGTGGGAGGGGAGATCTTTGTTTCTATGAAGGCTTGATGTCCCAGTGTAGGGGGTTGAAGAGGGGTGATGCTGGAGTGGGTGGCCAGGTGGGGAGCACCCTTTCAAAGGCAAAAGAAAAGGAGATGGGATGGGAGGTTTGGGGAGGGGAGACCAGAAAGGGGGACAGCATTTGAAATGTAAATAAATAAAATAACCAATTTTTAAAAAATAATAAAATGTGGTATTTCTGATTAACAACTTTTGTATTTTTAAGAACAGAATGATAAGTCTACATGTGACTGAGTTATTAACCTACATTATTAATTGTATGAGTAAAGAAATCTGATATCTGGTTTACAAAACGATAATATTTAAAGAAAAATCCCATGAGGCTTTAAATCCAATGCAAAGAACTATAGAAAACAGAGTATAGGGAGCCTTCCTGAGGGAAGAGCACAACAATTGATTGTCCAGTACCACGTCAACTTTGTAAATGTACATGTGGGGAAGCAATATCTAAAGTGAATCACTTACCTATGAAGCACTATGAAATACATCATTTATCTTTAGGAAATACATATGTGTGTTTTGTGTGTCTGAGTACATATACACATACATGATTGTATTTATACATACATATATGTATATATTTTACATACATACATGCACATATATACATAAAATAACAGTAAGTAAGAAATAGAGGCCATGAACTTGAAGGAAAGTATGCATGCTAGGTACATGGAAGTATTTGGAGGTAGAAAGGGGAGTGAAGAAACATTGCAATTAAACTATAGTATCAAACATTAAAAAAATAAAAAAACAACTATATATTGTTCTACCTCTTGGAAAATGAAAGGTCTGCTTCCTTGGGAGAACCATTTTGTATTTAGGTTATTTAGTTTATCCAAAACTGCCTTTATGTCTCCAGGCCACATGTGCTTAGCAGCATCAAGTCTGAACCCTGCTACACCGATGTCAATGAGATGGTTCATGTAGTCAGCCACCTTGGTCCGAACATAATCTTTATCAAGTGCAAGATCCAGAAGGCCAGACAGACGACAGTTTCTGATCTGTTGGGGAAAAAAAATGATTGATTTATAAAAAGGTATTTCTATCTAAGAATACATCATTCAGTCATTCACACATTTATCAATAGTGAAGTTTTATATGGGTTTTAATTGGGACATGGAATGTATTGATGTTCTAATGTGAACACAGAGTCTGAAATCTTTTGTTGTAAATATACAGAATATCAGAGGTTAAGATAGGTGAGCATTAATGTTGGTCCATTCTCATTCCTGGTTCATCCTTTCCTCTCTCTCTCTCTCTCTCTCTCTCTCTCTCTCTTTCCCTCTCTCTTTCTCTCTCTCTGTCTTTCTCTCTCTGTCTCTCTGTCTGTCTCTTGTCTCTGTCTCTCTGTCTCTCTCTCTCTCTGTCTCTCTCTCTGTCTCTCACACTTTATTGTTCTCTCCAGGTCTTCTTCTCCATTTCTCTTTTATTCTTCCTTCATTTTTCTTTATTTTACATAGGTCAAAAAAATCAAAGCCAAGAAGTTGCTCATATTAAGTATACTGGTACAAGAATGAGACTGTGACTCAGTCTTTGAAGACTTTTTCTATATTTGATTTGTATTTCTAATATTTTCCATTTCATCATATTTATATAATTGACTAAATCAAGCTTTTAATTTTTTTCAGACAAATTTTTGAAAGAGCACTCCTAACTTTATCATTGAATTTAGCATATCCTTACGGAACAATGTAAAACAAATACAGGACACGTTTCCTTTCTACTTTTTTTACCATTCTGTATTAGAAATATCCTTTTTTTCCTATGTCCAATGGCATTTGTAAATTTCTGTGCATACATAGAAGTTTATACAGTTCGTTATTCCCATAACTCTCTCTCTCTTATTACCTCATTAGCATTTTGGTAGTTATGAACTTCTCCATTACATTTATTATCATTAAAATCCCAACCAGAGTATGGAACTGCTGGGAATTCCCTGTTAGAAGGATTGAAGTAACTTCCACAGGTACTACTTGTTCCTGCAGCATTGCCTGAGCCGCACATGTGATTAATGACAGCATCCACATAAATACGGACCTAGAAAAGAAAAGTGCACAGTTTAGTTGGACTAAAAAATCTATATTTTCATTACAATATCGCAGCAATTCTCCAAAACGTTTAATCTGCTGCTTTGTATATTCACTTTAGAAAAGTGAGTCAAGTGAGAAACAAAACTAATGTGAAATAAGAAAACCAACAATAGTCAGACTATGTGGAAAAGAATATAGAGGTCTTAAGGAGAAAAAAACAGACACTACCATAAAAACTACATACAAAAGTTCAGTGTTTGACAAGGTAGGACATTGTATAAATTTGAGAGACTATTGTGTTTGACATTTTACAGAGTTACAAGGAAAAAGAACATAGCTTAATCTATATACAACTTGGCTAAAAACCAGAGCGAAGGTACTTATCTCTTCATTATAGAACAAAGCAGATATTTACCACCTAAAATAATGATAGGGAAAGAAAACCTACAAATTTCAGTTAGAAAGAGAAATCACATAAATATAATTTAATCTTCACATATGAATCAGTGCCTATGAAAATACTTTAGTAAGTTTCTATAGTTATTAATTTTAAAAGTCAACATTTTACTTTATGAGTACTATTCCTTCAACCTCAAATGGTATGTATTCAAGAATTTCAAAAGTTGACAATAAGATAGAATTCTATTTTTCAATAACACATAAAATATAAAGTAAAGTTTTAGAAATTTAAAACCTGCTTAAAACAAAAAGAGATAGACACAAAAGAGAAATATTTTCATATATAATAATTTTAAGAAAATGTGTCTTCACTTACACCAACATTGTTGCACCTCGTCACCATGTCTCTAAATTCATCTTCATTTCCAGATCTTGTGCAAATTTTGTAGCTGATTGGTTGATATCTTTCCCACCAAGGTCTAAAGGGGTTATGAATTACAATATTTTCATTGGGTGGAGAGACCTACAAATAGAACAGTCATAATTAATATCAGATTTTGGCTTACATTACATACCTAAATTTTGTAGATAGCTATCAATAATCTGACATTACTTCTCAACCTATAAACATTCACTTCTGCTGAATAACCATCACCAGATATAGAAAACCTTTGCAGAGATACTCCTGATAATTCTACAGTAAGTATAAAGATGCTACAACTACTAAACCTTTCCCTTTCTCAGCAAAATTATGTGTGAAATGAAGTTGTGCTCTAAAGTCATTAGTCTTGATTAGAATACTATAGTAGCACAGTAATCTCTGCATTTAATTTGTGAACTAATCTTACCTGCACCCCTCCAAATCCCTTAGGAGCTAAGTATCTCTCACATTCCTTGGCAATATCAACCCAGCGCCACTCGAATAGGTGTACAATAGCAGTCCTCCCATTTGTAGTATGTGGGTCATACTGAGCCCAGCAGAACCCAATGAGGGAAAGCAGCAGGATGAACTTCATTTTGCTTTGAAGTTGTCAGTGTTCTCTCTAGCGCCTATTTATATCCTGAAAAAGGTACAGTTTATCAAGTCAATATTTATGAATAAATATTTAGAGAATGATCTCTTTCTTTGTAATCTAAAAGATTTGCAGTGTGGATGTGAACAGGTGATGGACTTTTAAAAACTCTCATAGAAAATAAACTGAAAGCCCTTGGAGACCATATATTGTTTGAGTACTATAGATCTCTACTTCTGATGTCATCCTCCAATACAAGGAAATTAAAATTAGAGGTAAATGTAGCCATGTTTGTTTTTGCAAATATGTACAGTATTTATGTTCTAAATAGAAAAAAAAATAATCTATTGAGGTCATTTTGTTTCTCCTACTCAAATTTTAATTACTTAAATATTTGTATTTATTTTAAGAAATTTTAAACACTGTAAAATACACCTACAATAGCAAAAACAGCAAGGATGAAAGAACGAAGATTTGGAGTTTAAGACAAAACTGAGCTGCACATCAAGCTATTGTATGAAAATGAAAACGAAAACATAAGGCAGGCATCTTTGTATTTGAGAAATATACATCTTCCCTACTCTGGATTCATAAGCTGCATATTAAGATGTGATCTTTTCCCCCAAGCCAAATATCTTTATACCTGCCACAATATGAAGTAAAAATGTAAAACTATCCTTCTCAGTTTTAATGAAAAAAATCAATGAAGAAAAGTGACATCTGGAAGAAGCTGAAGAGGAGGGCCACAAAGGAAGACCAGCAGTCTCAACTAACAATAACTAACAAAATCACTCAGACACTGAGAGCCACCAATCACGCAGCATATACCAGCTGATATGAGGCCCCCAGCACATATACAGCAGAAGACTACTGGGTCTGGATTCAGTCAGAGAAGATGCACCTAACCCTAAAGAGACTTGAAGCCTCAGGGAGTGGAGAGGTCTTGTAGGGTGAGTTGGCAGGTGGGGACATCCTATTGGAGACAGGTCAGGGGAAGAGGAGCAGTCAGAGGGTGGACCAGGAGGTGAATAAAGACTGGAGTGTAAAAGGATAATAAAATAAATAAATAAATAAATAAATAAATAAATAAATAAATAAAATAGTTAATTAATTTTCAAAAAATCAAATGACAAAACCAATGAGGAAAAATTTTTCATGTCCTTTAGCAAGTGCTGAATAAGTGTCTTCATTTTATCAAACATATAGTACCCTAAGATATAGTGATGAACATTGCCGGACATCCACAAATTCCTCTCAGAGAAAGAAACTTCAGGTAACTATAGTTATAATAACCAATTTTGTAAGTAATTTCAAATGAATATGGTTAGTCATAAAAGTAGGAAAGAAATATAATAGAGAATGAGTTCAATATTGGGATATTTCAGTCTAGATATTCAGGAAGTATTTCACTAAAAATATGACTTAGGCTCTGAATTGAAAGAAGAAAATCAGAAAATGGTTTGATTGGAGAAAACACAATCAGAGCAGATTAAGGATCACAGAAGAAAAGAACAGTACTGGAGAAACATTAATAACATCAACACAAATGTTAACAGATTGAAATTGGTGTCAAAACTGGGAAGCTGTAATCAGATGAGGTCATTGAGTTGGACCAGATCATAGCCTAATGAGAAAGGAAGAGGAGGAAGAGGAGGAGGAGGAGGAGGAGGAGGAGGAAGAGGAGGAGGAGGAGGAGGAAGAGGAGGAGAAAGAGGAGGAAGAGGAATAGGAGAAGGAGTAGGAAGAGGAAGAGGAAAAAGAGACACACCGAGAGAGAGAGAGAGAGAGAGAGAGAGAGAGAGAGAGAGAGAGAGAGAAAGGGAGAGAGAAAAGAAAGAAAGAAAGAAAGAAAGAAAGAAGGAAGGAAGGAAGGAAGGAAGGAAGGAAGGAAGGAAGGAAGGAAGGAAGGAAGGCAAGAAAATCTATGGGTAACAGACTAAACTCTAATTAAAATAATGTATTCTTTGTTCAGTAAAAGTCTGTGGTATAGTAACTCTATCATTCAACTATTAGATAAGCTTTTGATGTGAGTAATGCCCTCATTTTTTAATATAAGTAAGCACCAGGTAAACAATTGTATAACACACTCATTTCTATTCCTTTAACATGCATAAAGAAACTGTAATCCAGAGAAAGTGACTTAGTCACGTAGGTTCAATCATGTATACAAGACAATACCTGGTGATATTTTTCTAATTGAAATCACTTTTATCTTACTGTACCATACTTTCTCTTTAAATACTAAAATTGTGCTTTCCAATATGGTAGCCAAAAGCAGAAAGTATCTAATGAACAACATAAGTATTGATAATTTGATGATCAATGAGATAATTCTGCAAAATAAACTCTAGATCACATTTAGAACAGCTATCTACAGGTAAAAACATTGCAGAGAGCCAGGCTCATAAGGATAAGAGGAGAACAAAGAGTCTAAATGGTGCTAGAATTGAGGTTTTTCCAGGTGTACTCCACCTAAGAATCTGAAACCATTTCCATGAGAACTTGATAGAGGTTAATTTTAAAGTTGTAAATTTAATGTTTATGACTGAGGAAACTCCCATGCAGTGTTGCAGTCAGACTCTGAAATAGCTATTTGTTAGCTTTCTTATCACTGTGGACATTGTTAAAGACTTAAGTAGAAGAGAAAGACAGAAAAAAAATATCCCCATTGTAGGGGAGATGGGCTCAAGCATGTTTACAACTGAAGAGAAGGCAATTGCTGAGAAACTAGCTGTTTCTGTTAAAGAGAGACTGTCTGCTCTACATTGAGAGAATGAGAAGTTTGGGTTGAAGGAAATATCTTACCCACCATAGGCTCCAAACCAGTGAAGCAAAGGTTTCTGTGAAAGGGAAGAGTCTCAAATCAGAAGGGTACCAAAGCAGATCTGTGTTCCTGAAAAACAACTGTGGAAGAGGCATTTTCCAGTATCAGCACCCAGAAGATGCCCTAATTGTCATGCAAGCTCCATTCCTTTGTAACAGCAGAAGTTGAAAGATTGATCTATGTATGCTGACTATGCAGGCAGGTACGAGAAAGGATTGAAGATATCCCTGGCTTACCTTGAATATTTTCCAGAATTTCTAATCCCAGGCAATTTGGGACAAATTTGGGTCCCTGAAAGGATCTTGAATGGGTCTTCGAAGCCACTGCAAAGAATTGTAAATGTAACACAGAGATTCCAAGGATATTGGAGATGTCCAAATCAGGAGATATCACCTGAAAATACTTCATTTACAATAAGTGCATCCAGATCATTAGAGTGCCTGTGTATTCCAGAAAAACATCTGGAGGAGTAGGGCTGCCTATTTCTCTTGCATTCAACATGATTCCGTCAGCATTCTTAAAGATAGCCTTAGATTTAGAGTCCACCCTGCTGGTTTCTAGGCTTTCACAATTTCTTCCTATTCTCTATATAAATAATTACATGAACCATTGTATACTGGAAGCATGTAATTTAATTTTTAATATATTCTTGGCTTGCAAAATGAAAAGCTTATGTTGTCCATCAGAGGAGACCTTAAGTTTTTGTAGTACATTGTGAAGTGTGACTAAATAGTGGGTGACAAAAATCTCATTACAGAAGAGGTAGAAATAATTATCCAGTGTATGGACTGAAGAATAAAAAGTACTACACTTCATTTCAGGCTAAATTTAAAAAATCTTTAAATTTAATTTTTGAATTTAAATTCTAGATTATGATACAAATATAAGATTTTTCCCTTTCCTGACCTCCTCCCTAAACCTCCCACTCACTCCACTTTTCTCTCAAATTCGTGGCCTCCTTTTTCCACTGATTTTTTTTCATGTGCTTACATGCATGTACCTCCTGAATGTCCCACCAAACAGTATCCTGAGGATCACCTTTAGAGTTAACTTACCACACTTGAAAGCCACCTCTCTGAAAGTACCTTATCTATTCATAGAGTGTTAGAGCTAGAAAAATGTAAATTACATTCCCAAAAGTTGTAATCTTGCTTACACAGGTGACTACAAACAAAAGCATTATCTTAGTACATGATTTCACAGAATTTCAGTGTATTTAGTTGCCATAATGTTACTATAATCACTATACTGTTATCGCTACTGTTTGTCCAAGCCATGCTGTTAAAAACTCGTGTTCTTTTTTCATTTTCAGTGTAAACATGTTGAAAGTCTGTCATCAGCATCTGTACTCTCCAAGGTCTAAATGTCTTCTCAATTTCAACAAAGTGCTGAGAATGTCAGAAGGGAACAAAGGAAGGTAAAGATGTCCTGCTTGCCATTACACTACTTATGTCTTCCAAATATTTCTTTCTTCCTTCTTTCCTTCTCTCTTTCCTACCTTCTCTTTGTCTTCCTTTCCCCCTTCTTTCTTCTTTGTCTATCCCTAAAATTTCACTTTCCATCATTCTAGGATCTCTAACACACACTGGTTCTGACATAAACAAATCTTATTTTTGACATGTTCTTCTGAAAAGGAACATCTAGTGTTTTTTATCAGAGATTGTATGGGATGAGACAGGAAAGAGGCTCAGAGGGTCTTAAGAATAAATGGAAATATGTAGCCTCTAGGGGTATGGAGCAGGGTCAACCTCTAGAAAGTTCCAAAAACCTGGAATGGGGGAGGTTCCCAGGACTCAATGTGGATAACCTTAGTCAAAGTGCCTACAAGTGGGGATATGGAACCTGAATAGACCACTACCAGTAGTCAGACAGGACCCCTAGTAGAGGGATGGGGACACCAACCCACCTAAATATTTCCAACACAATATTTCTCCTGTCTAAAAGAAATGCAGGGACAAAAATGGAGTACACACTGAAGTAATGGCCAACCAGTGACCAACCCAACTTAGAGTCCATCCTATGGGCAAATAGTAATCCCTTACACTATTACTGATGCTATGTTGTGCTTGCAGACAGAAGTCTAGCATGTCTGTCCTCCTAGATGCTCTTTCAGAAGCTGACAGACAGATGCAAATACAGCCAAGCATTGGACTGAGGTCAGGGACATTATGGAAAATTAGAGGAAGGATTGAAGAAACTG